GGAACATTGTTGATACCAACAATGATGTCATCTGCCTTTCTGATCCCAGACAACTCTGCTGGAGCAAAAGGGCCTCACCATGACATTTCATTTCAAGATGCTTGCCTGCCAAATGCCCTTGATGCCCACACCATGTTGACACCCTTCTGGATGTCAGGTCACCCTGATGACCCAGAATGGCCCCCCCCAGACATGTGTTAGGGCAACACAGGCTGACTAAGTCTGCTCACCTAAGAGTGCCAAGAGTCTAAGCAGGCAACAAGGAAGTGGAGTAGACCTGATGACTAAGACCTATCTACAGTATAGGTACCTGTGGATGATCCTAAGAGACCAAGTCTGAAGAGACAGTCCCCAGGCAGAGTAGGCCTCATATTTATACCTCTGTGGTGGAACCTGCTAGAACATCTTGCTTAGCCTAGTCAGGTGATCAGGTCATATGACCAAGGATGAGGTCATATGAGGTCATGCACAGCCATGCACAGCAGGTCACCTGACCATCCAATCCTTCCAGCAGGTTCCAGCACATGCCAAGGTATACCAGCTACTTCCATGTCATAAAGGCTTAGTCATGTCTCTTGACCAAGCAATGAGCTGGTGCCCTGACAGCCAGTTCTGCAGGAGCCAGAACACTGGGGTAACCATCAGTAAAATAGAAGAGGCACCCATGAGGAACATTACCTGGTGATCGAGGGAACCAGCACAGGAGGGGGCCAGGAACAAGGGGGTGAGACCGGTTCTACTTGTGCTCCCCTTGGGCTTGGAGGGGGCAGACAGGTCATGCAGGTCCATGGAGTGGGGGAAGGAGTGCCCCACACATTCTGGGTGGGGGTGGTGGGGACCTCACACTGGTTGGGAGCATGTGCTGGTGTAGCAGGAGCATGGCACTGATAAAGCAGATCAGCTCGAGTCATGCAGATTATGAAGAGAACCTTGCAGGGGTGGTGTTAGGATGGCCAGGAGGGAAGTTGAAACCACCCATTGGGCAGGGACAATCCAACATGATAGATGGTTGTGAAGACAATGAAGAAGCACAGGTTCCGAGAGATTGCTGTGACTGGAATGTGGGGAGCAGAAGCAAACTGCTCACAGGAACAAAAGCCAGTGATGACCAACTTGCACCAGTTGGCAACAAATGATGACAGGCATAATAAAACAACAAAGGGTGGGAAAACACACCTATTGTGTTTGATTATTTGAAAGCAACAACTCACGAGTCAGCACAAGTATGGTCACATCACGTTGCTGTATGGCAATTTGTGCCTGGAGGAGTTTGCGGGTCAATGAGACAATCTCATCATTCAGAGATTGAATTTGTGCAATTTGATTGGCAGATTGAACATTGCAGGAGGCCAAGTGGTCTCTAAGGATCAAGTAGATGGCAGCATCATTGGTTGCCAATGCAAAGCTGCACAAGTTCATTGCTGGAGGGGTAGGGCAGATGGTGGTAGGAACAAAAGTTGGCAACATGTGAATTTTGAAGCACAGACAGAATGGGGCCTGTTATTTGTCATGTGCTGATTTGCATCAGCATTACAGAGTAGTGGCATGTTTAAGGCATTTGCACAGATAGAACCTGCGCAGGCTTAGAAATCATATGTAACATCTGAATCATCAAGCTCAGGAACCTTCAATTCTTCTAGAAGGTAAACAGCGCTGAGAGTGAAGCTGATCTTGTGCATCCAATCCTTCTTTGGGGTGCTCAGATTGCAGCCTTCTTTTTTGAAGTGTGTACACACATGCATTTCCATCAGTATGAAGTCACCTTTTTCAAGTGAGATGCTGGCCAATGGGCCATGTTCTTCCTTTGCAGCCATCTTCTCACAGGTGTCATAGACCAAAGTGAACTCAGTAGACTAAACAAGGAATCACCACTGAAAGCAAAAATTGCGCAAGTTCACCATACAGTAGCCTCTGAACCAAAAGCCTTCTGGAAACAATTGGTGATAACACTGCCAAACAACTGCTATGGGGATGGGAATAAGATTTGCAAATCTCCGTAGAGGCCTTAGTGTCTTCCCACATGAGGGGCATTATGCTGAGGTAAACCTGATTGGGCCATGTGCCATTTTCCTGTTGGAACTTAAGAGCAGAAATATGACTGATGATCCAAATGAGAACTGGAATGTTGTCAACTTGCATGAGGTAGTTTGACATATCCAAGGCTTGATCAAATCCCCAGTGGAGGTTGCAAGGGAAATGAGTGATGTAGTAGACACCACACAAGTTGTCCATGTAATTGCAAAGCTTCATGATTTGCTCACGCATTGGCAGGTCAAAACACAACAGGTCAACTGGTGCAGATTCCTTTGAAGACAAAGTAGTGCCAGTGTCAAGGCTTTTGATGATGTCATTGGAGTCATTGTCATCTGATCAAAGAGGCCTGCACAATTTGGAGGGCATGACAACAGAGGGGGACACAAGGCAAGTCCTGTGAACACTATCAGGCAAGCACCACACCAAATCAAAGAAAGTGTGCACCTTTTGGTGCCGTTGAAAACATCATTGGGGGGCAAGAGGTGGTCAGCAGTGCACTTTGGCAGCATCCTGCATAGACCAAGGGCTCAATGGGGATCTCGACAAATTTGTGCACATTTTTATATGGAAAACAATCAGTCAGAGGATTGTGCAGTTTAGAGTTTAGATTAAGTAGGAATGCAATGCAGGTATTGAATGGTAGTGAGCTGAGATAAATCAGCTAACCTTTTCATCTTGGATCGAAAATCTGAAGGGGGGGAAGCAAAGATGTGCCTGGTGGAAAACTCCCTCAATATGGCAACACCAGTGATGGACCGAATGTGGGATAGCATGACATACACACTTTGGGGGGTCTTGCAACAGGCAAGATCCAAAATGGCATGATTTAAGGAATGGTCTTGGCTTCTGTAATCTGTGTAGGAGTAAGCTGGAAGGATCAGGAGGAACTCTCTCATTATATGGTGTGATCAAACATTACCATTCCCATCAAAGGTGCACAAGTTGAAAGTTGTTTTCATGGGTTGAATACAGATGGTGTGCAGAGGAAGACCATCTTGGCTGTTTGGACATGTCAGTACCCATATGAAAACAGCACAGGTGTAATGGTGGCCATCAGTGTCGCACTGGTAATGCACACCGGAAACAATGCCGGTTGATCTGTTCACCAGGCCTCATGAAAGTGCAAGATTTTCAGTAATCATGATCTTCATTCTTGGAAATAGTGGGACAAAAGGAGGTGCATCATCAGTTTTGTTGACAGGAAGCTTCCAGAGCATGTCACATAGACCCTCTGGAATTGCACTCTTTTGAATGGAATCTGTTGAGAAGTAGAGGTAAACTCTTGATCAGAGACGCAGCACATGGTGTGTTGCCAAGAGGAGATTTAGCACATCTCAAAGCACCTTGGTGCAAACAATAACCAGCACATCTTTGAAATCACAAGGAATGCTTGAATCCTTCTTGATCATGTCTGTGATGATTTGTGAGTCCAAGATGGTTTGGTCTTTCATGAGGTAATTAGCGCCAATTCCGATCTGTGAGGGAGTGTGTGGTGATGTGCCAGCCCACGGAATTCCATGTTGAATGTGCACAAGGAGATTTGCCCAGGAAGGGTCATTTGATTGGTGCAAGTTGGTTTGGAGAAAGACGGCATGTGTAAGTTGTTGCCAGAGGAAGGCACCAGTTATCACCTTTTGACCCTTTACCAACTGTATTGTGCAAAGGTTGCATGCTTGTAGTAACTGGTGGCTATAGAGAGGGGGCATGCTCATTGGCTTAAGTTGCGCAAAGTCACCAGTGAAAATGACATTGATCCCTCCAAAAAGAGAGCCATCTTCTGCACCTTTTGCAAGGCAGAGTTGTTCAGATATCTCAGCTAGAAGCTGCACAGATATCATGCTGATTTCATCAATGATGAACCAGCATTTGCCAAACCAAATTTGTGTGAGAGTATTGAGATTTGTACGTTGGCATGGCTTCTTGGGTAGCAGAGTTAAGGAATGGATAGTTGTACCCCTGATGAGTATGGCAGCTGCGCCAGTTGGTGCAGAGAGGTGCAGCAAGTCCAAGATGCACAATTTGTCAAAGAGTAACTGGATGCTCTTGATGACATGACTTTTACTGGTCCCAGCACCACTGCCTAGATACAGAAGTAATTGGCGCAAGTTGGAGTGGTCCAGATGATCAGTCACAATTCAAAGCATGTGCTGCTGTTCCGGGTTTTGCAATAAGTTTTGCACTTCAAGGACATCTTGAAGAGCCTGTGCAATATCCGGCACAGAGAAGTCTTCAGAGGTAGTAATACATGCATCAGCAATCAGATCCACTGATTGCACAGTGATGGAAGGGGGGGTGTTGTCATTGGCAAACTGTGCAGGTTTGGTGGGTTGAAAGCATGAATCAGCTTTCCATTGTTGAAGTTTGGTAGCATACAACTGCAGCATTTCTTTATCTCCCACAATCAATTCGCATACATTTTCACACACATTGTCTTCATCTTTGAGCACAAGTGGAACTGGCACAGATCCAAGCTCCAAGAAAGAACAAATAGTGTCTACAGCTGCCAGTTGCACAGTGGAGTTCAACAACCTCTGCACAGATTCCACAGATGTAAGAAAAGAAGATTGTTCCAGGTTTGCCAAATCTGAAATGAGGTCAATGGAAGCATCATCAATGGCAAGCTGATCAGCAAGTAGTTCGACCTTGTCTTCAATACTGCCAGGGATATCAACTTGCGTGAGTGCATGAGGTTGTCTAGAGGCCATATGCGCATCTCATGCATCTTTACATTCAGACATCATGTTGATATGTTGTATTATGAGGTGGTGAAATGGTGTGATTTTGGCTTTATCATATGCCTGTGCCCAAGTAGAGGGGGAACATTTGATGTCCTCTGGAGAATGCCAAGCCATGAATAACACTATCATGGCCTTATACCAATTGTTTGATTGGGTAGGGACATTGGTATGCCTAGGGATGGTGCAGCCAGTCAAGTCAGGAACAATGGCATTGGATCTTGCACAAATTTGATGGGTCTGACATTGTGGATCACCTTCAAGGAAAAACCCATGTGGGTTGTGGAAAGAGGAAGACATATTGCCATCCATTTCCAAAAGTCCGGAATCATCAACAAATGGATTTTCATCTTGGATGGGTGCTTTTTTTTTTGGTATCCTTTCCTTCTGACAGAATGCAACAAAATCATAAAGGCAGTAGGAAGCAAAAGGTTGAGATGATGGCCAGTGAATGTAGTCTTCATATTGGTTTGATACAGAAGGCTGACCATCTTGAAAAACCAGTGTGACATTGACAGTATTGAGGTTGGCAACATCAGGAAGTGCATCGTCAGGAAATGTGTTGTTGGGAAGTAAATCATCTGCCACATTGTCAAATGGCACAGATTCCTCTTGAACAACATCTTTGCACTCATTTTGTTTGGGAGTGTCCAAGGACAAACTGAGCTGTGTGAGTTGACCAAAGAAAAGTGATAAAGCAAGTTTTCCAAATTGTGCATTTGTGTAGTAATCGCCACCACCAACAAAAAAACTTATCACTTGTTGATGAGACATTTCTTGTTGAGTGGTTAAGCAATTGATGATCTTCAACAATAAACTGGAATCTTCAACATTCTGGGACGGTGCAGGTACATGTGCAAATTTCTCCTTGTTCTTCTCCATGGTGTAAACTAGCGCAGACAGACCAGCATGGATGCGCAAGGTGGATTTGGTGATGTAAAACAGCGCGGATTTAGCACCCTCTCCAGAACCGATGTACTGGATGTCCATGTTACAGGCAAGAAGATACATGACAACATTGTTGTACGTTGATACAAGGATGTAAACAGCGCAGTAGTATTGATCCAGTGTCCTCGTCAATGGTAGAAATGGCACGGGTTTCACCGTTGATTCTCATGTGGCAATTTGCGTTGGTACGCTCTTCTTTAGGCGACAAATGGATCCAACAAGTAGCACGGTGTTCGTGCCAGTTGCATCGTTGAACAAGAGATTTAACTTGCTCATTGAAAGTGATATCCGTAGGCAGTGCAGATGGCGGGACAGTGCAAGGATCAATATCATCTGGCACAAGTTTGGGAATGAGAAGGGGACCAAATGGCTCTCAAATGATGGCATCATTCTCCTGTAGTTCTGTTTTGATGAGGCGCTCTAGCCAAGTGAACATGCGCTTCTTGAAACTATCTTGATTGTCATCTAATAACTTGCACAGGTTGTTTGGACCAGGATTCCCAGCAATCCATAGCAACATATGACAGTGGAGTGTCCCTTGGCCTCGTGCCTCGACCATTCCATACCAGGCAGTGCAATTACCAAAAGACCCGGCCCCTTCCCCACGCAAAGGATGATGTCTCGGAAACGAAGCATAGTGTTGTGGAACACTTTAGCGGCGGAGGCAGGATTCTCGGCAATGCTGATCACACATGTAAATCTCGATTGCTTTGTCATACCATTCAGAATTTGCGCATATTGATAGTTGTCGATATGAAGATGTGGCAACCAACCATCAATATCGTTGGGGGGTATGGTGACAAACAAAGCCGGCAGTCCATATCAATACATCATGGAATGGATTCCATTGCGCCAAGTCCTCTTGTAGCCATCGCTCCCGGGAACGTCATTATGAAGCATCTGGATGCGCCGTATCACACGCAGCGCTAGCTGTTCACCGGCGCCAGTTGGCTTGAACCTGGCATCAAGTTTGAGTTGAGCGGCAAGACCCAACAGATCATCCGTGTGGAGCTCACGCAGATTCTTGACAAAATGCGTGTGACCACCATCGGCAATCCGGAAGCGGACGTCTCGAATACTTGCACATTTTAAGATGATGCTGTGGAAGACAAAAGGGAAAGCAAGATGCCGTTGGTATCGTTTGTCGGCAAAGGCAGAGAAGATGCGCGAGTTGTTGTTCCATGGATACACGAACTTTTCTTCGAGGATCATCGAAACCTCCCAAACCGAAGGGGTTGAGGTGCGGAAACATCCATGTGAGGGTATATTCATTGCGCAGATCATGGATGGCGTGAGATCCAGTTCTCGCCATGACAAAAGGACCTTTTTGATCCAGAACATGCGCCAACACATCAGCCTTCATTGCTTGGTGCGCCACCATGGAACAATTCAAGGCACTATACCCAGAAGGCTCTAGGAGCAGATCATCCGGTAAACTGTGCGCTCCATCGAAGGCATTTCTTCCAGACACATTGGATTCGCTGGCAACCTGGGTTTCGTCCAAATGAACATGGTTTATTTCCACATACGGCGCGAGATTAACAGAACATGCGCTGTTGCCTTCGTTACTCCCAAATAGAGCACGGAAGTTGGCATTTGAAAAGGAAGCACCTTGAGGGAAATCATCGGTCTCGCATGTGTAGGCCTTGTTATGCGTGAGAAGGAAATCAATAATAGTGTGCACGTTCTTGGCGCAGGCTTTCATAGGTTGCAATTGGCGCAGATTCTCCGGGGTTGGCTTGTCTCGACCAGCAAAAACGGTAATGAAGCTGGTCTTGAGAGCTTCAAGCAGCGCGGGTAGGACATTATTAAGCTCTGCAGTATCCTGGGGAAGGATAATGACATTGCTGCAGAAGTACCGTTGGAGGCCTTCTAATCCGCGTCGATACAAACAACTATCAGGGTTGTCGAGATATCGAAAGCACACCTTGGATGCTGAACAGCAAGCCACAAGGTGGCGCTCAACAAAAGTCGAGGAATTGAAAGCTTGCCGAACATGTGCAGGGACTCGATCATGCGCATAGTAGAAGCCATTTGCGAGAGTGAGAGGAGGAGCTTTCCTCGGCGGAGCACAGGCAAACAAGACAGACAAAGGCGCAAGTTGCCACCAAAAGTGTCCGGAGATGTCAAGCCATGCGCATTTAAGAAAGCGCGCTGATAACCGAGAAAGTTGTAGGACAGGGGAGTAAGGTGGTTGGGAATGTCAGCATTTCGAAGAATAGTCAAATCGATGTGTTCAACAGGGATGACATTAAGATCCACGATTCAGATAGCCTCAGCACAACAGGCACAAATACCTTCGTGCAAATTTTCCAGCGAAACTGAGTCCACATAGCACGCGATAATGTCTTGAACCAGTGCATGATCATATGAGGGCGGGAACAGCTCATCACCAGGAAACTCGTGAACGTACAGACACTCTAGAACAACCTGCCATTTGTGATGGAATCGGCGCCATTTTGGGGCAGGGGTCAGGGGAGAAGCTGTGACGTCAGGGGAAACATCCCGGGGGCCCTTGTTTCACCAGGCGGGCTGACAAGCAGGGCTGTGATATACCCGGATAGGTCGAAGTCTGAAGATCTAGGCGAGAGAACCGGGAACCAGCGCATTTTCCACAACATGGGCATGAAGGGCCATGACAACTTCATGCCAGTTCTGTCACTTTGGTACTTGGAGTCCCAGAACATGCGCGATATTGTCATACTGAGCACGGGTGAAGTACGAGTACACTGTGAAAACCTTGGGGAGAGAAGCTCAAAAAGCCAAACAATCGGGATATTGTTGAAGGGGGGCGGATGGATGAACAATTAGTGCGTGATGGAAATCATAGATGAGGTTGAGCTGCTCAGTTGAGATGGAAGAAGTCCCATCAGAAATAAAGCCGCGCAGTAGATCTAGTTGATGATAAGACATGGCAAGAGAGGAAGAATAAAGTGAGTATGTGGAAAAGCGAAGTACGCAAGCAGAAACACAATGAATTGATCTGAGGTGCAACACAGTGAAACCGGAAGAACGGGAAGGGGAAAATGGAAGGGCAGGCTTAGTCAACAAAGATGAGTAAGAAGAGGCAGTGCCTTCCAAATTTGGCAGGTTTCGACGCTCCAAATTCGACCCTAGACTCCTCACCCTGAAAGCCTGAGCAACAAGTTGCCCAGGAATAGAAAGGAATATAGGAAGGATATATAGGAAGGATTCCATTTTTTTGACTTCGGTACTCTAACATACCCTAAGCAAAAGAGCTAGGGTTTTGCCGGCGCTCAGCACGGCCCCTTTCCTAGTATAGCAAGCCCTGCATTTATTTTGGGACCCTGGGGTGCCGGTCCGGAGCACTTAAAAGCAGTGCTTCTCAGGGTCCCACCGTCAAATATTTCGTATTGGAGTGACTTCCTGAGGCACTCACTGCTTTGCGGTTGCACAGAATCGACCCACAACCCTACCAGGAGGACAGCGGTTCCTCTGCCAATTTTCTTACACTCACCGCCCTCAGTATTAATAACACTTAGCCCCTTTGTACAGTGCTCATCGCAGTTCATTCAAGGACGAAACACTCAGATGACAAGCGGCCGATGACCGTCCGGCCGAGTCCATTGGATCACATATAAGGTGCATATCAGGGCTATGTTTATGCTTACTAGTCTATACTAGTCCTCAGCAGAGGATGAAACAATTGTGAGCTTTCATTCATTCGGTTATATTGCTCGGCACCCTCTATTCAAGAACGGCATCCACCAGAGGACAGCACAGTATGCAAAGCCCATTGATGCCATCCTATATAAGAGTGTCAGTTTGTGGCCATGCATACCCTCACCCATCCACACTAAGGTGCAGGCTCACCCGACGAATTCCTACCACAACACACACACTCTTCTCACGACTACCTGCTGGCCAGGAACTCACGACAACTCACGACCATTATTTTACACCCCCGCACAACATTCAACTACAGTTCCAAATTTTCATTCAATCCCACCAAAGTACACTATGCAGATCACTTCCGTCGTCGCTCTGGCCGCCCTTGCTGCTGGTATTGCCGCGAAGCCCATTCCCGACGAACCCAGCGGTCATGCTGAGGCCGGCGCAAACGCCACAGAGGCCCATCACCTGCCCGGTTCCGAGACAAAGGAGGCGCCATCGTCCTCTTCACTCGCGGAGAAGAGGCGGATTTTCTTGA